GGTACTGTGAGCTGCACAGTGTGATCCCTACACCCTTGTGGTTCTTAGTGCTGGATCAGAGTGTTAGGGTGTTACTTTGGGAGTTCAGTGTGTAAAGAAAGAAGAAGCATTCCTGATGGTTTTTACCCCAACATGTATAGAGAAGACTTGGATTACAAGGATGACAAAAGATTACAATGGTTCAGGAATTTTCAGATGGATACAAGGGAAGTTAAACATTTAAATCTTAACTTCTTTTCTAATCTGACATGGTTTTATAGATAAATATTGCTTGATTTTTGGTTAAACATTAAACAGATAAAGTGAGCTGCAGGGCATAAGGGTGGAATCAGAGGATTCTTTATTTTGCAGTCATTCATTCTCAAATATCTAAATTCTTCCCCTCTATTTATCTTAAAGGCTGGCTACCCCCATCTGCATGCCTATTCCTAGAAAGGACAGCAGTTTGTATCTGCAGCTTACAGTGATGCCGTTTTCTACCCAGCCAAGGAGATGACAATAAAAGGAGCCCGCTGCTTGCAACACAGGGTGTTTAAAGCTAAATGCAATACCTTCGTGTCGCATGCGATCTCTCGCAGGCCGGAAAAAAAGCAGCACAGACCCGTCTAGAGCTTCACTGAGACAACAATGCAGTTTTCCCCACTCCCTTTCAAACCAGTGGTTCAGTTCATTTAGACCTCTTGTATTTTTTTAAACTGATGTTACCCATCTGAGTAAGTGGGGAAAATATATTAAAAGTGACTGTGAGCAGATGCTGAGTAGTTTCTGGTGAAAAAGATCTTCCTCTGAAGAGTTACTATGCGTGTGCATAACATTAAGAGGTTGAAAGCTTTGTCGCCATGCCATTTATAGCCCTGTGTTATGATTTTTCAAAGCCCAAACACAAATCATCAACACATTATTAGGACGGCAACAGTGTATTAATTACTGATTAACCTAAACTAGGAAGGGATGAATTAATTTTAACAACAGGTTTGGAGCAATATAATATTTGCCACAGATGACAAAAGCACTGTATTCTAGAAATTCCCTTGAAGGACTAGTGGTAGATCTGAAAATCAGGTGTTATTTAGGTATAATTCCATATATGCATAATCCATGATATTTACAAAATGGTCCTTTAACACTACAACCTTCCACTTGTGCTTCCACTAGGACCAGAGATGCTAGCACAAATCAGACTGCCAGACTCTGTAAACAATGCCCTTGGGCACAGCCTAAGAAAGATAACTGTTCTTAGTTTGTAAACTTCTTGTGCTGGAGACACACGCCTCCTCCATAGCATTGCTATCTGAGAATTATATAGTACAGACAGAAACTGTCTTCTTTACAACAAAGCTATTCCTTCTTAATAGCTGCTACAAGACAAATGCACTAAATACCATTATATGTGCAGGATGGTTATGAAAGAAGCTAGTCATTGTTGGACAGATAAGATATATCTCTACCAGTTGCTAAAGCAGGATGCTCAGGGTCATCTTGTTTTCCTTAGCATTCTTAAGCGCTTACTGCAAAGCTTGTATCTGCAACTTTTAAAATCCTGGGAGCAGATTTATATTTGAAAACTGAGGAGTCCAGTTAAACAAAACATAAATCTGGCTTTTGCACTGCTACAGCCACTGCAGAATCATGGAACCACCTCCCACGCCCCTCAAGCCTCAAAACCAAATGTTCCTGTGCTGTCTTTTATGGCATCTGAGCTGGACAAAGTCTTTACTAAGTCAGCCCCAAAGAAACGGAAAGCCTTATTCATAGATTTTTAAGTCTAGAAGAGACCATTAGATCACCTACTCTGACCTCCTATATAATACAGGCCACAGAATTTCCTCCAGTTACTCCTGCATTGATCCCCATAACTTTCATTTGACTAAAGCATATCTTCCAGGAGGCATCCAGTCTGAATCTGAAGTCTTCAAGAAGATAAAGAATCTACCACTTCCCTCCATAGTTTCTTCTAATGGTTAATCACCCTCACTGTTAAAAATTTGTGCCTTATTTCTGATTTGAATTTATCTGGCTTTAACTGACAGCTTCTTATCAGCTGGTTATGATTTAATTACTGGTGAATATAAGATGACTGAGCTATTAAAACAGAATGTATATTTTCAATATCCTTTTAGAAAAACAATTGTTGATTAAGTGACACAGAAACTGGATGATACAGGGGATTCATAATGAAATTCTGAGGCTTTTTGTTTCTGGGTCACTAGATAAAATCTGGCCCCAGTCTGTAGGAACTAAAAGTTGTTAAAAATTGATGGGGTTAGTGGAGTATTTGAAATGAGTTAGAGATCTCAGACTGGATTCCCCACTCTGCGAAGGCCACTTTGCATTGTGTAAGGAGATAACTAGCAATCTCAGCCAGTGGAAAGCTGCAGAAAGTGATTCCACCGCCTGCACCAACTGCAATCTTCCTTCCCCAGTGGAAAAAGGGTTGCATTAGGGGCGGGAGAGCTGAGCTGTATCCTCCACTGGGTACAAGATCACCTCAGCACAGCACCTGTGCAGCCCAGACTGCGATGGGATGGGCAGCCCTGACTCCAAGAACTGCAACTGGCTCCCTACAATGCCCCCAGACCCCTTCACTCCCTCCATTCGCAGCTTCTCCTACCACTTCCTAATTATACTGCGAAAGCACCATCACCACTGAAGCTGTTTGGCCCCTGAACAGGGAAATTACAGAGGCAGAGATCCCAATGGGCAGAGTCTCTTTTTCTCATCCCCAGAAATGGAACAGGGTCCAGGTACATTGGTGGGATGAGGGGTGCTGATAATACCAGCACCCTCTGTCAGTCCCTTGTGGCCAAGTGGATGCAGTGTCGCCAACTCTCCTGATTTCTCCATGTATCCAGCTAGAGCTGGAGTCGTCTCGCCAGGATGCCAGCAGCTCCAGCACTCCTGTGAATTTCAACCCTGCCTAGGGGGAGGAACCCACTCTGATTGGCTGCCTTCACCACTTGCCCGGGGATGAGCAACCAATGAGGGCTACTGTTGGAGGTATGCAGAGTTCTCCTCTCCTACCGCTCAAGAACTGAATGGAGTTCTGGGATAGAAGAAGGGAGACACCAGTCTCACAGGAGGGGAAGGGGAAGCAGAGAGAGATGAGCAGCTCAGGGCAGCCCTGCTCCATCCTCTGTCCCTGTGAACAGTGGGTCAGTCAGCTCTGTTCCTCCCTCCCCGCAACACCCAGCTTGGGAAGGGGGAGAAGGTGGTGCAGCACCCCCATCACACCCCAGGGGGGGTGGTGAAGAACCTCACAAGCTTCAGGAGAAGAACTGGTGTGGGAACTGGGCAAATGTGGGGCCAGGTGGAAGGGTGGACAGGCAGATGTAGGGGGTGAAAGCACCTGCAGCGGAGGCTAAAATCACCTTAACCAGACACCCTGTGAAACCAGAAGTCCTCAATCAGACAGCAGTGCAACCACCAAAAAAATAAAAAAGCAAATACTGTATTGCCTCAGGGCTTCAACCACGGGGGGGTTCGGGCTGCAGCCAGAGGGTGGGGGGGGGTCCAGGGCTCTGGGCAGAAGGGCAGCTCAGGTCTTCTGACCCTCAGGAGTACCAGGGCTCAGGGGTTTAGACTGGGGGGCAGCACCGGGGCTCAGGGCTTCAGCCCTGTGGCTCTGTTCCCGGCTTCAGCCCGACGGGGGGTGCCGGGGCTTGGGGCTTTAGCTACAAGGGGAGCACTGGTTTCAGCCCCAGCACTCTCTCCGTAACTGAAGCCCCAAGCCCCGCCCCCAGTTGAAACCAGGAGAGGAGCCACAGGGCTGAAGCCCCAATCCCTGGTGCCCCACATGGGGCAGAAGCTGGGACTGGAGCCGCAGGGCTGAAGACCCAATCCCTGGTGCCCACATGGGGCAGAAGCTGGGACTGGAGCCGTAGGGCTGAAGCCCCAGCGCTCCCCCGCAGGTCTAAAGTGCCAAGCCCCAGTTCTCCCTGGCAGCCCCTAGGATCAGTACCCCCCCCCCCCCCCGCCCAGAGTCCCGCAGCCCCAGCTTCTCCGTGGCTGAAGTCTGTAACGTCTTTTTCAGAGTTCCAGACCATTTCAGAGTTACAGACAATAGAACAATACACCCATAATAGGAGTATTGTAATATTTGGTGCCCTGTGCAATGTTGCAAACTTTCATTATCTATTTAAAGTGTTAAGAGAAAGAAAATAAAGTGCCCATCCAGGACTCTAGATGACTATAACAGTATCATTAAAATACAGCATAAAACCCAGCAGCTTTCCCAAAAAGGGAACAACCAATCAGCAAACATCCCCTCAACATGCACTCCAGCACGAGCCCTGATCACAACTCCCCCTCTCCAAAAGCTTGAGCAAGAAGATGGGCCAACCTGTGTGTCCGGAAAGTCAGCAAAACTGAACTTTTACAGATTAACAGTGGGGAAATTAATCCCAGATTGAGCACCCCACATTGACAGCTCTCTCTCTGATATGGAGGGAAGTTCCAGTTGAAACACCTCTGTGGGCTATAACTGTAGCAATATGGCACAGTGAGATAGGCAGGTCTCAAGCAATTTTAGAGTTTCATTGGTCAAATCCTATACCTACAGGTTAAATACCCACAAAACTTACTCTCTGGCTGGGATTTTCAAATTCAATGTGATTTAGGCTCCTAACTCCCTTAGACTCCTTTGCAACTCCCAGTTTTTATTATTTTAATCCAGACAAATGCGCTGGTAAAGTTGCTGTGAATTTTGTCAAACCTTCTCCTTCCAGAGACCTTTCTGAATTTTTTTTTAAACTACAGGGAAAAAAAACACACACATACATTTTGTAGCATTCTGCCTACAACCAAACTGTCTAACCAGCTACCAGATGAGTAGACATTTGGTCTACAACTTGATTGACCCTATGCTTCGTAATTTTTCATGGTGTGACATCTTCTATCACCTAAGTGGGCAAGCAAGCACTGGCATGTCAATATCCAAGAGATTTTAAGTTATTTTTGACAGGCACGTGGATCCTTATAGATAATTTTCAATATTGTCTTACCTAAGACGGTCATGACTGTCTTCATAAGCTTCATTGGTGTCCTCCTACGGCTGATGGATCCACTAGTGTGTGGAGATAAGACATTAGTTTTCCTCTGGACGTACATGTAGATTCTTAGGTAAACCACCACCATAATGAAGAAAACAACTAGATTGGAGACAGTCCAGAATATCAGATAACTTCTGCTATAAATAGGAGCCAGGGAAGAACAGGTTGAGATATTGCAAAGGCAGTTCCAACCCAAAGTAGGCACAGCCCCCATAAAAATAGCAATGGCCCAAATCAATAAAATTAAAAAAGTGACTCTTTTCTTTGTGAGGTTACTGTGAACCCTCATCCGCACTACTGACATGTGTCGCTCAACAGCTATCACAAATAAATTAGCCAGAGAAGCTGTCAGGCTTGTGTCCAGAAGCCCCTGACGCAAAAACCATCGGTTAACAGTTAGCGTTTTGGACACAGGGCCAGTGTTGAACATCAAGTATACATAGGCAATGCCAGCAAAAAAGTCTGCAGCAGCTAGATTGGCTAGCAGATAGTAGAAGGGGAAATGAAATCTTTTGTTTTTGACCACAGCTGCTATGACCAGTGAATTTGAAATAAAAATAAACAGGCAGAAGAAGGTCCCAAAACATAAAACAATAACAAGGTTTGTCCCTGACCACTCATCTACTGTGTCAGTGTTGCTCATGTTATAAAAAAAGTCCATACGTTTATCATAGTGGCATTCGTTCATCCTGGATCAGGGCCTTACATCCTAGGGGGGGGAAAAAAACATGAATTAGATTTCATACCTTGTCTTTGCTTGAAGCACTGTGCTGCAAATACTTTGAGTTTAAATGTTCCCAGAGAATAATTTTCACATCAGGTAGAACTAGTGCAAAAAGAAATGCTGCCTGAAGGAAAAACTGCTCTAATATAGTCTCTCTGATTAGGCCCCAATTAAAAAAAATTAATCACATGCTTAACTTGATCTTGATGTCAAATGGGACTTGAGCAGAAGCTTAAAGTTAAGCAAGTGCTAAAGTGCTTTGCCGAATCAGGGACTTAAACATTAACTAGTTAACGCTTTTGCAGATGATGAAGCTGAAGCTCAGAGTTTTAGTGATTTGCTTGAAAATACATGGAGAGCCAAAAACAGAACCCTGATCTTCTTACTCCCAGTCCTGTGTTTGAACCACAAGCCCATCATTTCTCCCAATACCCAGCTAAGACAGCAAAACACAGAAATCCTACATCTTTTCCAGTTTACTAACCTAGCAACATAAAACTTTTACTTGTGAAGTATTTTCCTGTTTCTGAAGCATGTTAATAGATATAATATGTAAATATACACTATTTAAGGCATATATTCTCAATGTATGCACATAACTCCTATCAGTAGTAAATTAGTTTAAATGAATGGATTTAAAAGTGAAAATATGTTATATTACATTTTAGAATAACTAGGTCCAAAGGGTGCAGAGGATAGAAAACTGGTGGGGGAGTTTGTGAAAATAAAAGTGAAGTGTTGGCCATGAGTTCTGGATTGATAGCCCTGTAGAATAAAGTCTCCTATTCATCCACAAGGAAGGTGAAGCATAGGTAGCAGCAGTGGCATGAGCTTTCATACACTGTGTCAACACTGTTTTGGACAGATCGCTACTAAAGATGAAGAGAGGGATAGTTCATTCTCCCTATTACTTCTCACTTTGACCTGTCTGGGTTGACTATCAACATCAGCCAGGATAGCGTTATTGTGATGTGTTCACGAGGAACTACATTGAGATACAACGTATTTAATGCAGAAGATTAAACAGCCATCAGATGGTATTGACTTTCAATAATCTTGGCACAAAAAGTGAGCGTGTGCTAGTAAAATTCAGAGGACACAGAGTTAGAAGGTATTGCCAATACAGAGGAGGAGTGGAATTTCATAAGATTTGGATGACCTTGAAAACTAGAATAATGGAAATGGGATGAAATTTAATAGTGCAAAGTGTAAGGTCATGCACCTAGGGCAGGGGTGGGCAAACTATGGCCTATGGGCCGCATCAGACCTTTTAATCCAGCCCTCAAGATCTCACTGGGGAGCAGGGTCTTGCCCCGCTCCACACGTGCCGTGGCTCCGCACAGCTCCCGGGAAGCAGCCGGCATGTCCCCCCTCCAGCTCCTACGTGTTGGGGCAGCCAGGGAGCTCCACATGCTGCCCCCGCCCCAACTGCCAGCTCTGCAGCTCCCATTGGCCAGGAACCACGGCCAATGGGAGCTGTAGGGGCGGCGTGTGCGCAGAGCCGCCTGGCCACACCTCTGCGTAGGAGCCAGAGGGGGGGGCATGCCACTGCTTCCGGGAGCTGCCTGAGATAAGCGCCACCCGAAGCCTGCACACCCCTGACCTCCTCCCATGCCCCAACCACCTGCCCCAGCCCTGATCCCCCTCCCACCCTCTGAACCCCTCGGTCCCAGCCCAGAGCACCCTCCTGCACCCAAAACCCCTCATCCCCAGCCCCATCCCAGAGCCCGCAACCCCAGCCGGAGCCCTCACCCCCGCAACCCAACCCCATGCCCCAGCCCAGAGCCCCTCCTCTGCACCCCAACCCCCACCCTGCACCCATCCTGAACCCCTCATTTCCGGCCCCACCCTGGAATCCGCACCCCCAGTCTGGAGCCCATACCCCTCAGCCCAGAGCCCCCTCCCATACTCCAAGCCCCTCTGCTCCACCCCAAGCCCGCAGCCCCCTCCTGCACTCCAAACCCGTCATCTCTGGCCCCACCCCAGAGCCCACACCTCCAACCAGAGCCCTCACACCCTCCCGCATCCCAACCCCCAATTTTGTGAACATTCATGGCCCACCATACAATTTAAATACCCAGATGTGGCCCTCAGGCCAAAAAGTTTGTCCACCCCGACCTAGGGTCTAACAACAAGAATTTATGCTATACGCTGGGAATGTATCAGTTGGAAGCGACAGAGAAGGAGAAAAACCTGGGTGTATTGGTCAATCACAGGATGACTATGAGTCACCAACATGATGCTCATAGTCATGAAAAAAGTTAATGCACTCCTAGGATGCATCAGGTGAGGTATTTCCAGTAGGGATAGGGAAGTGGTATTTCCATCATACAAGGCACTGGAGAGATCTCATCTGGAATACTGTGTGCCATTCTGGTCTCCCATATTTAAGAAAGATTAATTCAAACTGGAACAGGTGCAGAGGAGGGTTACTAGGATGAACAGAGGAATGGAGAGCCTCCCTTATGAGAGGAGATTCACAGACCTTTGCTTGCTTAGCCTAACAAAACAAAGACTGAAGGAAGATATGATTGCTCTCTATAAATACATCAGAGGGATAAATACTGGGGAGGGACGGGAGTTATTTAAGTTAAGGGCCAACATTGGCCTAAGAAAGAACAGTTACTCACCTTCTCGTAACTGTTGTTCTTCGAGATATGTTGCTCACATCGATTCCAATTAGGCGTGCGCACGCTGCGTGCCCAGTCGTCGGAAAGTTTTTCCCCTAGCAGCACCCGTCGGGTTGGCTGTGGAGCCCCCTGGAGTGGCACCTCCATAGCGCACTATATATGACCCTGCTGACTCGGCGCCTCCTCAGTTCCTTCTTGCCAGCTACTCCGACAGAGGGGAAGGCGGGTGGGTATTGGAATGGATATGAGCAACACATCTCCAAGAACAACAGTTACGAGAAGGTGAGCAACCGTTCTCTCTTCTTCAAGAGATTGCTCATATCGATTCCAGTTAGGTGACTCCTAAGCCTTACCCTAGGCGGTGGGGTCGGAATTATGGAATCGCTGATTGGAGCACTGCTCTGCCGAAAGTTGCATCATCTCTGGCATGCTGGACGATGGCGTAATGAGAGGTGAACGTATGCACCGAGGACCAAGTTGTTGCCCTGCAGATTTCTTGGATTGGGACTTGGGCCAGGAATGCCGCCGATTAGACCTGTGCCTGTGTGGAGTGTACCGTAAGAGCTGACGCTGGGATTTTGGCTAACTCATAGCATGTGCAGATGAAGGACGTGATCCAGGAAGATATTCTTTGCGATGATACCAGGAGCCCTCTCATCCGGTCTGCCACCGCTATGAATAGCTGGTTCGACTTTCTGAATGGCTTAGTGCGTTTGATGTAGAAGGCTAGTGCCCGTCTAACATCCAGAGAGTGCAGCCTCTGCTCGCAGTTACTGGCATGAGGCTTGGGGAAGAAAACGGGCAGGTATATGCCTTGACTCGTGTGAAAATGTGACACGACCTTAGGAAGAAAGGCCGGGTGAGGCCTAAATTGCACCTTATCCTTGTGGAAGACTGTGTAAGGTGGGTGAGAGGTGAGGGCCTTCAACTCAGACACCCTGCATGTTGAGGTCACGGCGACCAAAAAAGCTACCTTGTATGATAGATAGAGGAGGGAGCAAGTAACTAGCAGTTCAAACGGGGGGCCCATTAGTTTGGAAACGACCAAGTTAAGGTTCCACGCAGGGACTAGCAGTCTAATCTGGGGATGGAGGCGTTCCAGGCCCTTGAAAAAACGTCCCACCATGGGGTTGGCAAATACTCCTGGGTGGAAGGCCAAGATAGCAGTGAGGTGTGCCTTGATGGATGACATTCCCAGGCCTTGCTGTTTCAGGTGCAGAAGGTACTCTAGGATGAGTGGTATAGGCACCTGGATTGGAGATGTGTGATCCTGGGCACACCAGCAAGTGAACCTCTTCCACTTAGCTAGATAAGTGGCCCTGGTGGATGGTTTCCTCCTGCAAAGTAGGACCTCCCTTACAGGTTCCGAGCACAGACGTTCCATGGAGTTTAACCATGAAGCTTCCAAGCCGTGAGATGGAGAGACTTGAGGTCTGGGTGGAGCAGGCGACCGTGACTCTGAGTGAGCAGGTCGGGGTGGAGTGGCAACACAATCGGAGTGTCCACTGACAGTTCCAAGAGAGTGGTGTACCAGCATTGTCGAGGCCACCAGGATTACCTCCGCTCTGTCCCGGTGGACCTTGAGAAGAACCTTGTGTGCCAGAGGGAATGGGGGAAAAGCGTACAACAGGCAGCCTCCCCAGGGTAGCAGAAATGCATCTGTGACTGAGTCTGGGCTGTGATTCTGAAAGAAGCAGAACATCGGGCACTTCCTGTTGCTGCGGGTGGCAAACAGGTCGACCTGGGGAAACCCCCACCTTTGGAAGATGGAGTGTATGACGTCCGGACAGACGGACCACTCGTGATTGCGGAACAATCTGCTGAGGTGGTCTGCCAAGTCATTCTGAGCCCCTGGGAGATGGGACGCTTCCAGGTGAATGGAGTGGGCTAAGCAGAACTCACAGAGCCTGAGGGCTTCTCGACACAGGGGGAGGAACGGGCTCCACCCTGCTTGTTGATGTAAAACATGGCAGTGGTGTTGTCTGTCCTCACTGCCACACACTGGCCTTGCAGCCGGGCCCAAAAATCTTGGCATGCTAGACGTACCGCCCTGAGCAACTTGATGTTGATAGGAAGGCAGAGCTCGTCCCAAGATCATAGGTCCTGCATTTGTAGATGTCCCAAATGCGCATCCCAATCCAGAGCTGATGCATCTATTACCAGGGACAAGAAGGGCTCGGGGCTGTTGAAGGGGACTCCTTCACACACTATCTGAGGGTCGAGCCACCATTGGAGGGACTCGAGTATGTGCTCTGGTACCGTCACTACTAAGTCCAGGTTGTCGTGTCCCGGGCGATAGGCCGACACAAGCCACGCTTGCAGAGGTCTGAGCCT